AGATATTGCATCTCTCTCTTTCTCTCACTCTAAAAATAAACAAACTTTAAAAAAAAATTTGGTGTTGTGAGTTTTTAAAGTTTTTTTTTGTTTGTTTTTATTTTGAGAGAGATGGGAGTGATGGGGAGGGGCAGAGAGAGAATCCCAAGTAGGCTTCACACCCCCAGTATGGAACCTGATGCAGGGCCCACAGGCTTGAACCGAAATCAAGAGTCAAATGCTCGGGGCGCCTGGGTGACTCAGTCGGTTAAGCATCCGGCTTCAGCTCAGGTTATGATCTCACGGTTCGTGGGTTCGAGCCCCACGTATCTCCCTCTCTCTCTGACCCTCCCCTGCGCGCTCGCTCGCTCTCTCTCTCTCTCTCTCTCTCTCTCAGAAATAAAGCATTAAAAATTAAAAAAAAAAAAAAAAGTCAGATGCTCAACTGACTGAGCAATCCAGGCACCCCTGGTATTGTTTTTTTTAATTTTGCCATTTTGGTGGGTATAGAGTGGCATCTCATTGTGGATGTGTTGTTATTGATGTTTTGTTTTGTTTGTTTTTGAGAGAGAGAGGGAATGGAGGAGGAGAAAGAAAATCTTAAGCAGGCTCCATACCCAGTGCCAGAGCCTGACCCTGATGCAGGGCTCCATCTCACCATTGTGAGATCATGACCTGAGCCAGAGTCAAGAGTTGGATGCTTTAACCAGCTGAGCCACCCTGCTCCAGTGTTGTTTTTAAACAAGAAACAGGGGCGCCCGGGTAGCTTAGTTGGTTAAGTGTCCGACTTTCGCTCAGATCATGATCTCACGGTTTGTGGGTTCGAGCCCCGCGTCGGGCTCTGTGCTGACTGCCAGCTCGGAGCCTGGAGCCTGTTTCAGAGTCTTCACTCCCTCTCTCTCTCTGACCCTCCCCTGCTCATGCTGTCTCTCTCTCTCCTAGAAATAAATAAAACATTTAAGAAAAAATAAAACAACAAGAAACAGAGTAGTGTATTTATCCTCTTAACAATATATGAACACCTGCTATTATTACAGATAATCAGTTAATTAAAAGTGTCTCAGCAGAACTATCTTTGCACATATGCTCAGAAATACTAAGGGATTTTTTTTCCAGTCACAATCACTCATATCTCATTTCAATTCTTTTTTTTTTTTTTTATGTTTTATTTATTTCTGAGAGAGAGAGAGAGAGAGAGAGAGAGGCAGCATGAGCAGGGGGGGTGGTCAGAGAGAGGGAGACACAGAATTAGAAGCAGGCTCCAGGCTCTGAGCTGTCAGCACAGAGCCCGACGCAGGGCTTAAACCTATGAACTGTGAGATCATGACCTGAGCCAAAGTCGGCCGGCCAACCGACTGAACCACCCACATGCCCCTGAAATCAACTTCTTTACTATGCTATTGAAGCTTTCTACTTATTGTTGAATCCGTTTTGATCATTTGCTTCTTCTAAGGAATTTGTTTCACTGAAGTCACTAAATTTTTTGGCATAAAGTTATTTATAACATTTTTCTTATTATCCTTTTTAAATGTATGTATGATCTGTAACTATGTCTCTCTCCTGCTTGATATTGGTCATATGTATCTTTTCTCTTTTTTTCTTGATAATCTACTTCTAGCTTTTGGTTTTATTGCTTATCTCTATTATTCGTCCACTTCAAAATGAGTCAGAAACCTAAATTTGAAATTTAAACTAGAAAACAAACCAGAAAATCTTTGCAGCTGTGAGTTAGGAAAAGATGTTTTTGATACCAAATACACAATCTGTAGTGGAAAAAATTGGTAAACTGGACTTTAGTAAAATTAAAAACTGCTAATCATTGGGGGCACCTGGGTGGCTCAGTCGATTGAGCATCCAACTCCTGGTTTCGGCTCAGTTGAGATCGAGTATCATGTTGGGTTCTGTGCTGGCAGTTCAGAGCCTGCTTGGGATTCTCTCTCTCTGCCCCCTCCTGCTTATACATGCACGTACACATTTTCTCTTTCTCTCTCTCAAACATAAATAAACTTTAAAAAAAAAAAACTGCTAGTCATTGAAAAGCTGTTAAGAGAATGAAAAGTCACAGATTGGAAGAAGATATTTGCAATTTATATATCTGATAAAGAATTTGTATCTAGAACATATAAAGAACTTTTTAAAAATGTTTTTATTTATTTCTGAGAGAGAGAGAGAGACAGCGTGAGCAGGGGAGGGTCAGAAAGAGAGAGAGATACAGAACCTGAAGCAGGCTCTAGGCTCTGAGCTAGCTGTCAGTACAGAGCCCGATGCAGGACTCGAACTCAGGAACCGTGAGATGATGACCTGAGCCGAAGTTGGACACTTAACCAACTAAGCCACGCAGGTGCCCCAAGAACATAGAAAGAACTCTTAAAACTCAGTAATAGTAGCGGTGCCTGGGTGGCTCAGTCAGTTAAGCACCTGACTATTGTTTCACCTCAGGTCATGATCCCAAGGTCATGGGATCAAGCCCTGCATTAGGCTCCACACTAGGCACGGAGCCTGCTTGGTATGGATTCTTTCAGTGCTCTCTCACTCGCTCTCTCTCTGTCTCTTTCAAAATAAATAAATAATAAAACAATAAGAAACTCAATAATAAAACAACCCAATTTTATTTTTTATTTATTTGTTATTTTAAAAAAATTTTAATGTTTTATTTATTTATTAGAGAGAGACAGCATGAGCAGGGAGGGTCAGAGAGAGAGAGGGAGACACAGAATCTGAGGCAGGCTCCTGGCTCTGAGCTAGCTGCCGGCACAGAGCCCAACGTGGGGCCCAAACCCACAAACTGCAAGATCATGACCCGAGCCGAAGTAGGACGCTTAACCAACTGAACCACCAGGTGCCCCAAAACAACCCAATTTTTTAAATAGGCAAAATATGTAAACAATTCTTTACCAAAGAAGACCTAGGTCTCAGGCACACCAAAAATGTTTAGCATCAGTAGACAACAGGGAAATGCAAATTAAAATGGGATACCACTACCCACCTATTAAAATGTCTAGAAATTAAAAAGACCTACACTACCAAGTATTGTCATAGACGTGGAATAACCGGAATTCTCATACACTGCTGAAAATGTGAAATGATATTGACACTTTAGTATAAACAATTTGGTTTAAAAAGTTAGATATATACCTGCATGTATATGATCCAGTCATGCCACTTCTAGGTATTTACCCAAAGGATTGAAAACATATGTTTGTATACAGATATTTATAGCAGTTTTGTTTGTATTGATACAGAACGGGAAGCAAGCCAAATTTCCACCACCAACTGAATAGATAAACAAATCGTGGTATAATTATGTAATAGAATGCTACTCAGCAATTGATACACACAATTAATATAGTGAATCACAAGATAATTTTACTTGGTTTTGGAAGAGGTGAGACAGAAAAGTACCTAGAAACATACCTACTCTGATTCTAACCTATATAAAATTCTGGAAAATGCAGGGGCACCTGGGTGGCTCAGTTGGTTAAGCATCCGACTTAGGGTCAGGTCATGATCTCTTAGTTCAAGAGTTCAAGCCCCCCGTTGGGCTCTGTGCTGACAGCTCGGAGCCAGGGAACCTGCTTCTGATTCTGTGTCTCTCTCTCTTTGCCCCTCCTTGCTCTCGCTCTCATGCGCTCACTCTCCCTCCATCCCTTCCTCTCTCTCTCTCCCTTTCTCTCAAAAAGTAAATCAAACATTAAAAAATTTTTTTAAAATTCTGGAAAATACAAACTGATGAATCACAGAAAACACATCAGTGGTTGTCCAGGAAGGGAGAGTATAAGGAGGGGCAGAAAGAAAGGGATTACAAAGGGCTATAAGGAAACTTTTGGAGATGATGTGTGTGTTTGTTATCTTGACCTTGGTGGTAATTTCACAGTGTGTGTGTATATTAAAACTTAATAAAAATTTGTACATTTTAAATATATTCTGTTTACTGTCTGTCAGTTTTTTAATGTTCAAAAAAAAGAAAGAAAAGGAGATCTCAAGATGCTAGAAATAGAGAGACCAGCTCCGGAAGGAGTTAGTAAGCCTAGTTTTCAGGAAAGATATAATTGCTATGGACTAAGACCATACATAAAATTCACACCAAGTCTCTTACGAATAGTTTGGAACTGCACTGTCCACTATAATAGCTGCTATTCACATATGACTAAGTAAAGCTTAAAATTAAGTTATTTACAGTATTCACATTTCAAGTGTCTAATAGGCACATGTATTGGCTATTGGCTGTCATTGGTCAGGACAGATTATAGAGCATTTCCATCATCCCACAAAGTTCAGTTTGACAACACTGGTCTAGAAAAATTCTGTTCATTACCTGAGGAAGTGTTAAGGAGTTATAAAATGTCTGGATCTTAGGTGAAAAGGAAAATTATTGATTGACAATCTAAACCCTAAAACTTATAAGTGTAAGATCTTAGTTGCAACTATTCTTATGATCTGGAATTGCAAGCTAAGAACTTTACAGATTTAAGTAGTCTAGGACCATTGAAATGTTTGGGCTCCCAGCAGAAGAAAAGGCAAAAGTCTGTATAGGGACACTTTAAAAACCCAGGGCATCTGAAGGTCCTTATATAAAAAATACTCCCTTCTGTAGACAAAATCAGAGGTAAAAATGATAAGCTATAGAAGGAAATAACCATCATGAAGACTAGTTAGCTGCTGGTGAGTTAGCACTCCAACAACCACATATAATAGAGCAGTCTGAAAGATACTAAGATAATTATGTGTTTTAAATGGTTAAGAAAAGTATCAACACTGGGGCGCCTGGGTGGCTTAGTCGGTTAAGCGTCCGACTTTCGCTTGGGTCATGATCTCATGGTTCGTGGGTTCGAGCCCTGCGTCTGGCTCTGTGCTGACTGCCAGCTCAGAGCCTGGAGCCTGTTTCAGTCTGTGACTCCCTCTCTCTCTCTGACCCTCCCCTGCTCACGCTGTCTCCCTCTCTCTCTCTCTCTCTCTCTCTCTCTCCCTCTCCCCCCCTAGAAATAAATAAAACATTAAAAAATTTAAAAAAGAAAAAAAAAAGAGTTGTGAAGACTCTGTGTACCAAGACAGTAAATATCTAGGCCATACAAATACCAGCATAGCTGTCAGATCACACAGCCACAGAAGAGGAGGTGCCTTCTTTGCCTGAACCTAGAAGTAGGTTGAAACAGCACAATCTCAGAGGGAGACCATGTGGTCTGTAATGCTTCCATTCTCGGGTTTCTGCCTTTATTATCTTCTAGGCCATAGCCAGACCTGTTCAGTGCAGTTGGTCTGCTGCCTCAATATGGTAACTCTCTATACATTCTCCTTTGCAGACATTATGATCTCAACCAGCTGCTGGAGCCTCGAAGCGTAACAGCAGATCCTTTGGATTACCGCCTAAGCTGGCACTTGTGGGAGGTGCTACGGGCTCTTAACTATACCCATCTCTCAGAACAGTGTGAAGGTGTTCTACAGGCCAGTTTTGCTGGCCAGCTGGAAAGTGAGGGGCTCTGGGAGTGGGCTATCTTTGTCTTCTTGCACATTGACAACTCAAGGTGAGTGAAAAGCCTTGAACCCACAAGTACATCTAGGGCTACAGGGCAATGCCAAAGAATCAGTCTTTTAGGGTTTAATTCTTTAAGTAAGCATCTAGAATGTATTTTGGGTCCACCCTTGTGATAAACCTTAAAACCGTTCAGTCCACAGCTGTCTCTGTGTTCATGTGAACAAGTTAGAAGTGAAACTGTCTTGAATTTAGTGTCAAATAATGCTGTTTATCGGAAGAGATTTCTGTGAATTGCGTGATCACAGGAAACTTTAGACAAGAACAGGAAATAATTAAGTGGAAGAGGAAGGATATATCTACATGGAGCAACCCCATTAACATAGACATAGATTCAGTTGAATGTGGCATGTTCAGGAATTATGCAGAAACAGTGCTTGCTAAACTGCCTCAGTGAGTCTGCGAAGTGATATCATGAGTTGGCAGGGAGTGTCCCTGGCCTTTTCTCTCTGTTGGCTTTCTCCCTCTCTGGCCTTCTCTCTCTTGCCCTCTACCCATAGCTATCCCTCAAGTTTGATAGCATCATATTTACCAGTATATCCTTAGATGTGTAAGGATTTGGCTCTCTACCCTAAAATACCCTTTTCTCCATGATGTGAGTGAGATAAATTGGTGATTTTTTTTCTGTTAATGGTAGTAGCATGGCATTACACTAATAACAAAAACATTTATATAGTACTTTGTTGCATGGTACTTTTATATATATTTATACTATTTGTAAATACTTTATATCAAAATTAGTGCTCGTAATGAACCTGTAAGATAAGACTCTTACAGTCTCTTTTACAGATGAGCAGCCCAAGGGACAGAGAGATTAACTTTTGCTCAAGGTCACATAGCTGGTAAATGGCAGTCTTCTAGCTCAAGACATCCAGAGTCTGTGCTCTTAATCATTATGCTGCACTGTCATGTGATATACTTTGAAAAGGAGTTGAGTTTTGTAGTTAAACCTGCCTCAGTTTTGGATCTATCATGTACTCACTTTGATCCCATGTAAAGCTTACTCACTTTTGATTTTTGGTTAAAGATACTCTCTTTTTATCTATAAAATCGTAATATTAATCCATACCTAGTCAAAGGCGGTTATGGGATTAAAGGAGAAAAAGTTGGGGCACCTGGTTGGCTCATTGAGCCAAGTGTGTGACTCTTGATCTTCGTTTGGGTCATGAGTTTGAGCTCCATGTTGAGCATTAAGATTACTTAATTAAAAAAAAAATTTTTTTTTTTTTTTTTTAAACAGAGAGTAGAAGTATAAAGCATCTAGCACAGCCTTCCCTTTAAGGAATTTCTCCTCTTCTCCCTTACCAGAAAGCAAATGACTTCATACTTTTCCTTTGAGTTTATTTAAATAAATTCATGGAGAATTTTACAGGTTAAAATGCTGGCTAATAAAACTGATGCTTCAGAGTAGTCTCTAGGGAAGCATTTCCTGTTCCTGTTTGTTTATTTAATTTATTTATTTAAGTTCTCTTTACATCCAATATAGGGCTCAAACTCCCCACTCCTTACTGAGCCAGCCAGGTGCCCCCTGGTAAAGATTTTTTAAAAAGAAGTATTTAAGATGAGATTGAGGTTCCTTGAAAATCTAAGATGAGAATACTTGTTTTGATTTGAAATTTAAATGGCTGGTACTTTGGCCCAGATAGAAAAGGACTCTTAAGGGGACTTCTTGAGATCAGAAAGAATGAGGGTAATCTAAGTCTAGAGGTGGAGAGAAATAGGAAAGTTCGTGGTTTTGAATGAAAAAAAAAAAAAAAGCAAACAAGGACCTGAAAGAGGCCTTAACCTTTAAAAACTACTTTGTTTACTGGTACTGATCATATGAGAGAAAAGGAAGGGAAAAGGTTGCGAATGAATTGCAAAGAACTGCTCTGTGCAGAACAGGATTCTTCTATCCTAGTCCTTGATCTCCTGTTACTAGAAAGAAATTAAGGAAAAGAAAGGGAAAGCCTTTTCTTAGCACTAGACAACCTTCCCTAGAGTATTAGTATTCAGGTTTTTTTGATCATGAAAATACATTGTGCTTAGATACTTTCTATTTCATTTATATGGTGGCTTTTGATATTTTTGTATTAAGTGAAGTTTGAAGTCCACTAAGGGTTAAGACTTCCAGTTTGGGAGACTATCCCATTGATCACTCTGTGTTGTCTGAGGCAGTCTTCTTCATCATTGAAGATAGAATTTATTCAGCATTGTCTTTCTTCCTACAGCGTGCGTGAGAATGCTGTTCGAGAGCTACTTACCCGGCACTGCCAACTATTGGAGACCCCTGTGTCTTGGGCTAAGGAGACTTTCCTGACCCAAAAGCTTTGTGTGCCTGCTGAATGGATTAATGAGGCCAAAGCAGTGAGAGCACACATGGAATCTGACAAGCATTTGGAGGCCCTCTATTTATTTAAAGCTGGACACTGGAACCGCTGCCACAAACTCATCATCAGGCACTTAGCTTCTGGTGAGTCCTTCAGACTAGGGCCTGTGTCTTCTGTAATCACCCCAAATTCTTCAGCCTCTGAATCCCATGATTAGTCTGGCCAGAGGTGATGTTCTGTATGGGACTTTGAGATCTTGCATCAGATTATACTTTGCAAAAGTTCTTTGTGCAGAAGAAACTTGGCCAGGATTAGATGGGTTAGAGGGGCAGGGGTTGACAGCAATATTGTTACATCACCATTTGCCAAGGATGTGCCTGATATGCATGAATTATGTTAAACTCTTTGTGTACTTAGGGAATTTGATTCACCAAAATTAAAAAGGAGCCATAACTGATACCATAGAAATACAAAGGATCATTAGCGACTACTATGAATAGTTATATACCAACAAATTGAACAATCTAGAAGAATTGGATAAATTCCTAGAAACATGTAGCCTTCTAAGACTGAATCATGAAGAAATAGAAAATCTGAACAGAAAAGTTACTAATAAAGCAGATTGAATTGGTAATCAAAAAACTCCCTACAAATAAAAGTCCTGGACCAGGTGACTTCACTTGTGAATTCTACCTAACATTCATAGAATTAACACCAATCCTCAAACTCTTCCAAAAAATAGAAAAGGGGAGAACACTTCCAAACTCATTTTATAAGGTTACCATTATCCTGATATCAAAACCAGACAGGGATACTATAAGAAAAGAAAGATACAGACCAATATCCCTGATGAACATAGATGTAAAAATTCTCAGCAAATTATTAGCAAATTGAATTCCACAATACATTAAAAGGATTATACACCATGATCAAGTGTGATTTATAACAGGGATGTTTTAACCAATCATTGTGATACACCATATTCACAAAATGAAGGATAAAAATCATGATCGTCTCAAGAGATGCAGGAAAAGTATTTGACAAATTCAACATCCATTTATATAAAAACTAGTTGGCATATAACGAACATACCTCAATAATATAGGCCATATATAACAAACCCACAGCTAACATAATACTCAGTGGTGAAAAGCTTTCAGCTTTTCTTCTAAGATCAGGAAGAAGACAAAGATGCCTACTTTTACCACATTTATTCAACATAATATTGGAAGTCCTAGTCAGAACAGTTAGTCAAGAAAAATAATTAAGAGGCATCCAAACTGGAAAGAAATAAAACTGTATTGTTTGCAAATGACGTGATGACTATATATAGAAAACCCTGAAGATTCCACCAAAAAACTTTTAGAATAAATGAATTCAGTAAATTGCAGGGTACAAAGTCAATATATAGAAATCTGTTGCATTTCCATATAATAATAATGAATTATCAGAGAAATTAAGAAAACAATTCCATTTTCAAGTGCATCTAAAAGAATAAAATACCTGGAATAAATTTAACCAAGGAGATCAAAGACCTATACCCTGAAAACTATGACGTTGATGAAAGAAATTAAAGACACAGAAATGGAAAGATATTGCATGTTTATGAGTTGGAAGAATTAATATTGTTAAAATATCCTTACTACCTAAAACAGTCAACAGATTCAGTGCAATTTCTGCCAAAATTCCAGTTCTACAAAAGTTGAATGAACAACTCTAAAATTTGTGTGGAACACAAAAGATCTCCAGTAGCCAAGGTGATCTTGAGAAAGAACAAAGCTGGAGATAGCACACTCCCTGATTTCAAATTCAGTTACAAAGCTGTAATAAATCAAAACAGTATGGTATAGGCCTGAAAACAGACACATAGATCATTGGAACAGAATAGAGAGCCCGGGGGGTACCTGGGTGCCTCAGTTGGTTAAATGTCCAACTTTTGATTTCAACTCAGGTGATCATGTCATGTTCATGAGTTCAAGCCCCATATTGGGCTCTGCTTGAGATTCTTTCCCCACCCCCACCTTGCTTGTGCTCTCTCTGTCTTAAATTAAAAAAAATAAACTTTAAAATCAGAGTAGAGAGCCCAGAAATAAACCCATGCATATATGGCCAATTAGTTTATGACAAAGGGGCCAAGAATATACAGTCTCCTCAATAAAAGGCGTTGAGAAGACTGAACAGCCACATACAAAATAATGAAACTGGATCACTGTCTTATACCATGTACAAAAATTAACTCAAAATGGATAAAGAATTATAAGACCTGAAAGCCTAAAAGTAGAAGAAACCATAGGCAGTAAGCTCCTTGACATCTATCTTGATGATTATTTTTTTGGGATATGACACCAAAAGCAAAGGCAACAAAAGCAGAAATAAATGGGACTACATCAAGCTAAAAAGTTTCTGCACAGCAAAGGAAACCATCAACAAAATGAAAAGGCAACCTACTGAGTGGAAGAAAATGTTTGCAAATCCTTAATCTGATAAAGGGTTAACATCCAAAATATTTAAAGAATTCATAAAAATAACCCCAAAAAAATCTGATTGAAAAATAGGCAGAGGATCTGAGTAGACGTTTTTCTAAAGAAGATATATACAAATGGCTAACAGTTTTACATAAAATGATATTGTACATCATTAATCAGAAATGCATATCAAAACCACTGTGAGGTATCACCTCATCCCTGTTAAAATTGCTGTTGTCAAGAAGATAAATAAGGCTGGTGAGGATGTAGAGAAAAGAGAACCCTTGTGCACTGTTGGCAGACATGTAAATTGGTGCAGCCACTATGGAAAACAATATGAAGTTTCCTCAGAAAATTAAAATAGGGGCACCCGAGTGGCTCAGTCGGTGAAGCATCTGACTTCAGCTCAAGTCATGATCTCACATTTTGTGAGTTCAAGCCCTGCATCAACCTCTGTGCTGATAGTCCAGGACCTGGAGCCTTCTTTGGATTCTGTGTCTATCCCTCTCTCCCCCCGTCCCCGCACTCGCTCTCTCACTCTCTCTCTCTCTCTCGTTAAATAATCATTTAAAAATTTTTAAAAAGAAAAGAAAATTAAGAATGGAACTACCATATGATTTAGCCATTCCATTTCCAGGTAGTTATCCAAAAAGAAATGAAAACACAACTCAAAAAGATATGTGCAACTGCATGTTCATTGTAGCATTATTTATAATAGATAAGATAGGGAGACAACCTAAGTGTCTATCAGTGGATGGATGAAGAAAACATGGTGTATGTGTATGTATTGTATACATATGCAATGGGTTATTATTCAGCCATAAATAAGAATGAAATCTTAACATTTGCAGCAATAAGGATGGACCTCAAGGCATTACACTAAGTGAAATAAGTCAGAGAAAGACAAATCCTGTATGGTGTCACATTATTTGTGGAATGTTTACCAAAAAAAAAAATAAAGCCCCTCATAGATACAGAGAACAGATTGGTGGTTGCCAGAGAGGTGAGGGGGAGGGGAAAGTGGGCAAAATGAGTAAAGAGAGACAAAAGATACAAACTTCCAGTTACAAAATAAATAAGTCATGAGGATGAAATATACAGTATGGCAGCCATAGTTAATAATACTGTTGCATATTTAAAAGTTGTTAATAATATAGGGAGTGCCTAGCTGGCTCAGTCAGTGGAGCATGCAACTCTTAGTCTTGGGGTTGTGAGTTCAAGCCCCACGTTGGGTGTAGAGATTGCTTAAAAATAAAAATTTTTAAAGAAAGTTGCTAACACAGTAAATCTTAAAAGTTCTCATCAGAAGAAAAAAATTCTGTAATTATGTATGGTAACATAACTAGACACTGTGGTGATCATTTTGCAGTATATACAACTGTTGAATTGTTATGTTGTGTACCTGAAACAAACAATGTTATAGATCAGTTATGTGTCAAAAAGAGAAAATAGAGAGGTGCCTGGGTGGCTCAGTCGGTTAAGCACCTGACTCTTGATTTCGGCTCAGGTCATGATCTCACAGTTTTGTGAGTTCTAGCCCTATGTCAGGCTATGTATTGACAGCACAGACTCTGCTTGAGATTCTCCCTCCTCTCTGCCCCTCCCTGGCTCACACTCTATTTTTCTCAAAAATAATATTTTTTTTTTTTAAAAAGGGAAGAAAAAGAAAACAAAAAAACCCACCAGATATCTCTATTTGGGGAACTGAAGCAAGAACTTTTTCACATATTTCTTTGGACAATTTCAAGATATCTACTTGCAATTCTCTAGTTTGACCCAACATTATTTCCCCTTCCTTCCTGTTTTGGATTTCTGCCATGTCCTCTGTGTGTTTTTGAGAACCACATACTTGTGTAGACATAGTGCTTAATATTTTGTTTCTTCAGATGCCATCATTAATGAGAACTATGACTACCTGAAGGAGTTCTTGGAAGATCTGGCACCTCCAGAACGCAGCAGCCTAATCCAGGACTGGGAGACATCAGGGCTTGTTTACTTGGACTATATTCAGGTCATGGAAATGCTTCACCAGATACAGCAGGTACTTGAGTTCTTGAACTACTGCTTGGTTTTCCTTTTCCCTGGCCCTTAAAGCCATAGAGACTTCAAAAGGCCTTCAAGAGCGACCACTTGAAAAACTTAATGGCAAAGATAGAAGGGTCAGTGCAAGAGGGGTGTTTTGATGAGGCTAATTTGCTATCGCCACTATGGCAACTGTTTCAAAACTTAAAAAGAACTTGTTTATTACTAAGTGGTATGTACAATAGACATGCCGAGGCTTGTCCATAGTCTCCCCTTGTCCAGCCCTAGTTTGAGTGAACAGCTCAAGAAAGAGAGAGATAGTAAGGTCAGAGATTTGGTGAAGGTAATTGTTTCATACATCATTTAGCATGTTTAAAATCGCAAGTATTAACAATTTTTTTAGTCTTTATTAAAATGTGTTGGGATCAGTCTTGATAAGATCATAAGATAGGCCTCCATTGTTTATAGCATAAAGACCAAACTCTGGAGAATAGAATTAAAGCCCATATAGAGGCTTTTAACCTTTCATTCCGCCTTACTCCTACTAGTGTTACCCCACATTCCAGATGCCAACCTGCTTTAATCACACTAAATTACTCATGGAGTTTCCAACAGAATTTGTTTTATTTCAGTCTTTAGCATACATGCAGTCATTTTTAAGATTTGGATTGCTGGGGGCGCCTGAGTGGCTCAGTCAGTAAAGCATCTGACTCTTGGTTTCCACTCAGGTCATGATCTCATAGTTCCTGGGATCAAGCCCCACATGGGGCTCTGTGGTCACAGCACAGAGCCTGCTTGGGATTATCTCTCTCCCTCTATCTCTATTGTCTGCCCCCCACCCCAAATAAATAAATAAACTTAAAAAAAAAAAAACATTGCTGTAAGCTCTACTTTGTTCTCATTTTCCCCTAAGAAATGTTTATTTTTTCTACCAAAGCACGTGATACATTAGTCTACTAACTGTATTATAGTTACTTATCTACATCTGTCTTGCAGTTACCATGAGATCCTTTTAGGGAGATCTTGAAGATTAAAGGTAATAGAGCATAGAGGTTAAGAATCAAGTTCTAGAGCCAAACTGTTAGATTCAGTTAATGGTTCCCTCACTCACTAGCTATGTGATCTTAAGCAAATAATTAATGGCACAAATTATCATAGATATCTGACAGTTGTCACAAAGATTAAACAAAATATACTGTGTTTTAACACACTATATATACTAAGTGTTTAGTAATTGTTATCTGTTTTTCTTATTAAAATCCCCACTGCTAGCTCAGTGCCTGGCACATAATATTCATAATTTACTTGCTACATGTTTAAGATGGGTTAAGAGCATCACCCCTAAATTATCACTGAAGAAAACTCTTTTCTAGTTGAACATTCATATATTTACACAACCTAGTTATTGAGAACTTATTGTTCCCAAGCACTGGTGGATTTGAGGGATATGAAGGTAAGCAGTAGTGTATGTTTTACCCCTACCAAAGTAATAATTTTGGTGAGGAAGATATTTACAGGTAAGCCAGCAGTTACTATAGAATGATATATGTAAGGATTAAGCAAAGAATATCTTGTAGCAACACATAAATGGAGTACCTAACCCAGTCTCAGGGAGTCAGTAAGGCTTTCTAGAAGTGAAAAAGGAGGATGGGTGGATCAGAATTTTATTTTAATGTTTGTTTATTTTTAGAGAGAGTGTGACTGGAGGAGGCACAGAGAGAATTCCAAGCAGACGTCAGCGCTGTCAGTGCAGAGCCCAATGCAGGGCTCTATTTCCTGACCATGAGATCATGACCTGAGCTGAAATCAAGAGTCAAATGCTTAACTGGCTAAACCACTCAGGTGCCCCCAGAGTGATCTAATATACAAATCATATCATCTCACTCTAAAAACATTCCAGTGGCTTGTCATTTCACTTAGAATAAAGTGCTCCTTAGCAAGTCTTATAAAGCTCTGCATGAATAATTCTTACCTTTTTTGTGCTATGGACCTCCTTGACTGTCTGGTGAAGCCCACGGATGGCTGTCTAATGTATTTTGCAAAAATAATGCAAAAAAAAAATAATAATGCAAAAATTAAAATTCATGGGATTACAAAGGAAACCAGTTATGTTAACATACAGTTACCAAAGTATTAAGAACTTATAGTAAGTAAGTAATAAGTGCTTTAGCAGTGGATCTAATTTTGAAGCACTACATTTAATTTTTTTTTTTTTTTTTTTTTTATTTATTTCAAGGAAAGAGAGAGAGACAGTGTGAGCAGGGGAGGGTCAGAGAGAGAGGGAGTCACAGACTGAAACAGGCTCCAGGCTCTGAGCTGGCAGTCAGCACAGAGCCCAACGCGGGGCTCGAACCCACGAACCGCGAGATCATGACCTAAGCGAAAGTCGGACGTTTAACCGACTAAGCCACCTAGGCGCCCCTGAAGCACTACATTTAAAAATCACTAACAACTGTAATGTAATATGAAAATACCTGTGGTTTCTGCTGCTGACAAAGTCACAGTTATTGCTTAATCTCTACATTAATAATGCTAATTTTTAGAAAAATTTAGTAAAAATAAAGATTTTATTTTTCCCACTCCAAGTTCACAAAAGTTAGTAAAAATAAAGATTTTATTTTTCCCACTCTAAGTTCACAGACTCTCAGAATTCTAAGGACCCCCAGTTATGATCCACTGATATATAAAACCTCTCCAGTTTCATCTTCTTCTATTCTCCTCTTTAAACTCGGCATTTTAGGGGCACCTGGGTGGCTCAGTCAGTTGAGCGTCTGACTTCAGCTCAGGTCATGATCTTGCAGTTGGGCTTGTGAGCTCGAGTCCTGCATCAGGCTCTATGCTGACAGCTCAGAGCCTGGAACCTGCTTCAGATTCTGTGTCTCCGTCTCTATGTCCCTCCCTCGCTTGCTCTCTTTCTTGCTCTCTCAAAAAATAAACATAAAAAAAATTTTTTTTAACTGCATTTTACCCACCTGAGCTTTCCTTGCATTTCCATCTGGTCGTTCTAGCTGTCCTTTTTGCCTAGAAAGCTTGACCCTGTCATTGTTTTTAAGGTCCCAATTTTTCTGCCACATTACCCTCTTTGAATTGTCTGCGTAGATGATTCTTCAAGATTTATTTCCAGTGGTTTCTTTATTATCTATGAATTTCTTGAGAACAAAGACCTCATTTTATTTACCACCGTTGAAAGTCCAGTTAAAGGCTGGATTTTTTTGTGAAAAAAAGTACTTGTAGAGGTATTAAATGGTAGATTCTGCAAAGCCCCCCCAAAAGGATTCAATGAGAGAGAAAATTCTTGGAAGAGTTGATTGAGCATTTGGAGGAGAAGGTATTAGTAAAGTTAGTAAGTAGGGTGATTTAATGTAAGAGTTTGAGAGAGGAGGGTCTCAAACTCTTATTCTGAGAGACAAGAGTCATGTAAGACAAAGAGGAATAAGATACTACAGCTGGAAAGTATTCAGAATATAAGTAAAGAATAAAAAAAATACAGGGTTCCTGACTGGTTCAGTCAGAAAAACACACAACTCTTTTTTTTTTTTAAACAAATAGTTTATTGTCAAATTATTTTCCACAAAACACCCAGTGCTCATCCCCACAAGTGCCCTCTTCCATGCCCATCCCCCCTCCCCCCCACATCCATCAGTCCTCAGTTTTTGTCAGCATTCAAGAGTCTCTCATGGTTTGCCTCTCTCCCTTTCCCCCACCATTTCCCCCCTTCTTTTCCCCCTTGTTCCTCAGTTAAGTTCCTCCTAATCCTCCTATACGTGCAAACATATGATATTTGTCCTTCTCTGCCTGACTTATTTCGCTCAGCATAACACCCTCAAGGTCCATCCATGTTGCTACACATGGCCAGATTTCATTGTTTCTCATTGCCATAAAAACATACAACTCTTGATCTCAGGGTTCGAGTTGGAGCCCCATGCTAGGGGTAGAGATTATTTAAATAACCAAAAAAAAATTTTTTTTAAGAATAAAAATTCAGGGTTGCCTCCGTGGTTCAGTTGGTTAAGCAGTCGAGCAATTGATTTTGGCTCAGGCATGATCTCCTGGTTCATGGGTTCAAGCCCCACATCAGGCTCTGTGCTGACAGCCCAAAGCCTGGAGCCTCCTTTGGATCCTGGGTCTCCCTCTGTCTCTGCCCCTCCCTTGCTCACACTCTCTCTCTCCATCTCCCAAAAATAAATAAACGTTAAACAAAAATAAAAAGAATAAAAATACAGACTTGCTTTTTAGAAAGATCACTCTGGCAGGGCACCTGGGTGGCTCAGTGGGTTAAGTCTCCAACTTTGGCTCAGGTCATGATCTCGTGGTTGGTGAGTTCAAGTCCCACATCAGGCTCTGCTGACAGCTCAGAGTCTGGAGCCTGCTTTGGATTTTGTGTCTCTCTCTTTCTTGAAAATAAATAACATTAAAAAAAGTGTAGAAAGATCACTCTGGCTACCAGATGGTAGAGAAAAGGATGTAATGGGGATGACACTGAAGATAGTGATCAAGCTCTTGAGATATTTCAAGTAAGAAGTAATGATAGCCTGGGGTAGGGTAGTGGCCCTGGAAAGGGGAGTGGAAAATTGGAATATTAAACTAAAGATATAGGAATCATCAGCACATTGATCATAATTAAGGTCATAGGAGTGTGTTGCAACACATAGTGAGAGAGCATACAATGAGGAGAGGGCCCTGTTGTATTTTAGAGAGAGTTGTGAACTTGGATTCACAATTTAATACCTAAATTAAATACTAGTTTGGACTCCACGTCTTACTGTATATTCTTAAGAAGCATACAATTTTTCTGAGCCCAGATTTATCTATATTTTTGTTAGTTACAATGGTTCATGAATGCTAATCTCCAGACTTGCCCAGTCCAAGGCTCTACATACTGTATGTTACTTTCCTCTTGTGGATTACTGTTGAGATTGTGCCTTGTCCTCAGTGATTAGGCTCTATAGTGGTGACATGACACTGCCAGTCAGCTTCATGGGTTTTCTCTGTTATTTCAGAACTTTGTATAGTCAGTCTATGGATAGAATTGGGGTGAGGGGACCTTCCTTTGGCCTAACTGGTTTCTCTGCTTCTTTGTAGGTGGATTGCTCAGTTTATGAAATGGAGCAGTTACACACCAAAGTGACCTCACTCTGCAACCGCATTCAGCAGATCCAGTGTTTCAATGCCAAGGATCGCCTTGCCCAGTCAGGTAAGCCTCCATCCTTCCCTGCTTCCTGCCTGCATGCTTCCTGTTCTTATGATTATTACACATCTGCCCTGATGCCCCCACCTTCCCACCCCTCATCCTTGGTCCCCACTCCATTTTTTTTTTCTCTCCAGACATGGCCAAACGTGTAGCAAACCTGCTGCGGGTGGTATGGAGCCTTCGGCAAGCCCCTGATGCAACCTCTGACTCAACACCAGACCCTCAGCGAGTCCCTTTGCATCTTTTGGCTCCCCATGTTGGCCGGCTCCCCATGCCTGAGGACTATGCCTTGGAGGAACTGCGCGGCCTCACACAGTCCTACCTGCGAGAATTGACTGTTGGGAGCCAGTGAATCCCAGGTTCCTCCTAACACACTCACATGCTCATACACACTCACCATACAAAGGTCCTTTACATTGAGTTGATTGGCACTATTTGCCATTCTCTTGGTTGGCTATGGAATTCATCCTCTTTTCCTGCTGCCCCAAGCAGCATCCTTCATTTGTTCAGGGCTTTTCTCAATGCTGAACAAAACATAAGGGCTTTTGGAACCCAAAAAGGAGCCAAGTCTCTTTTTACTTTCCTTAAGACCATTCTTTTTTTTTCCCCTTTCTTTTCAAAAAGGATCAATAAAACACCTTTGGCAGAAATCCCCCCCCCCCCCCCCAAGAACCAGGGAATCCTTTTCTCTCTCAGCCATTCTGGATCTTGTGACCCTCCATGCCAACCTCCTACCCTACTCCTACCTCAGCCCTTTTATACTTGGACAAATGTGTTAATCAAGGACTGTCCTTCCTTAACAGATGAACTATCCGCAGAAGGAAGTAGAATATGTCTCTTAAGTAGGTTGATGACTTAACAATGTTTTAGAGTCCAAAGAGGGTTGGACTGAGTTAGGAAGCAGTAACAAGGTCTTTCTGACTCATTTAGGGTAGAAGTGAGTGCCTGCCATGGAGGGATGAATCTTCAAGGCTTGTTCTGCCTTGAATGTTCCATGAACACCAAACCTTTCCTACTACCATGTACAGGAACTCTCGGTCACAGATCCTGTCTCTTGGAAGCTCCAGAACTCAGTTTGATCCCTGGTTTTCAGTCATCTTGCTAGGCCACCATTCTGGATTTCCCTGAAGGGTTTGGATAAAACATGGCAGGTTGGGTAGCCCTCCTGGTCCTTTCTCTTCTAGCCCAAAGCATTTCCTACCCATTGTCTATAGTCCCAGAACATAAAACTGTTACTGAGGCAGGCAGGGAGCTGGGCTTTAGGGGCTTTAGTGGAGGGCCTTTGCTACACTGCTGCCAGCTATGGATAGTCCCAGGTAAAGACCTGTGACAGCTGGTATTAGGGCTGTCACAGACAACATGGCCACCTCTGGGTCTTTATGCATGAAGATTATGTAAAGGTTTTTATTAAAAAGTATATATATATATAAATAAATGATCTAGATTATTTTCTTCTTTTTCTGAAGCTACTTTTCTTAAAAAAAAAATAAATAAAATGAAATCTTTATAGCATTCCTGCTATTGGCCTTTTCCCTTTGTGTTTTTTGAGCCTTCTTATCCCCAAGGAACTTTATAGTAGCCTCAGTTGATTTGCAATCTAAAGGGAGATGGGGCATGAACAATCAAAGGCTAAATTTATGAGCAGATTTAGGGGCAAGGGTGTAGAGATTATTAATTAATCTTTACTGTTTATATTAAAATATTTGTAAGCATATTTTTATGTGTTTGGATTCCCAGTGAGGGATCAGGAAAAAGTCTCATTGCCTTTAGAGTTCAAAGCCTCCTGGCTCTTCTGCTCGGGGGGTTTTGCTTCTTTTTAAAACTTGGATCACACTCATGTTCCATTGTGTTATGGGGTTAATGATCTTTTATGTTGCTGCTAAACAGACCTGTTTTCCAGAGGGAGCAAATAGGTCTGATGAGTACTATTTGGGGGGAGGTTGGTTTGTTGGTTGATTGCTTGGTCTGTTAAACTGAAGGTGTGAGCAAATTCCAATTAGGATAGGCCAAAGACACTGGGACATGAAGGAATTTGGAGCTAAAGCAGAGTGGGTCTGGGACTTCCCTTTAATTTAGACCTGCAAGGACAAGGGTAACTCAGCTGGGAATCTCCATTACTGACTGTGAACCTGAGTCACAGAGCACTGCTGGGCTTCTAGCAAAGAATTCCTGTTCTGGTTTCCTTGTGAGAAAGGTGTTTTGTGAAGTGAGTGTGCTTTAGAAATGGTTAGCCTTTAGAAGTGTTAAGAATTGTGAATATGTGCAGTGTTTCCTCTTAAGACAAGTATTTCACATCCATGTGTTTTTTAAAGGCTCTACATCAGATGTTTATCATAGCAGCTACGTTATATCACAGACAACAGACTTACAGTTCAAAGTGAATGATAAAGAAGATGAGGAAGCTCTTCTACATTGCAAAACTCCATTGAAATAAAAATTTTAAGTTTCTCAAAAATATAAAAACAGGAATCATTTTTCTCAAAACTCAACAGAGTTACAGAATCTGCAACCTCATACAACATCCAAAATAAGTGTATTTCCTTGGCAGAATGCCAAAGTCAAAGTCAGGAAACTCTGGAGATTAAATGTTGGATTAGCCAAACCAAGGCCTTCAGGAGGTGCTGTTTTCAGATGTTTTACTCAGCTGCTACTTTGTATTAACCAAAAATTACTCGAGATTTTTTGTTGTTTTTCAAAGAACCAGCTCTTCGACTTACCAATTTTACCGAAGTTCTGAATTGTAATACAGTAAAACCTTGGATTGCGAATAACTTGTTCTGCGAGTGTTCTGCAAGACGATCAAACATTTCTAATAAATTTTAACTGGATAAACAAGCCATGTCTTGCAATACGAGTAGTACATGATCCTGAACGTCACGTCACAACCGAGCCAATGGTTCTCTCTCTCTCTCCTCTCTCCTCTCTCTCCCTCTCTCTCTCAGCAGGATTGTGGTGATCGTCCCCCATGCTTGGATGCTCAGTCTCAGGCCATGGTGTTTGGCAGAAATCAGTGATTTTTCAGAATGTTTGAAGGTGCCCACAGCTGGCACTAGTGTATTTTTTGTCACTTCAAAGCACTTATGGACAGTCCTTTGCTTTTACATACAAGAGTAAGGTTAGGAATGCTCTACTTCATTCTAGGTCAGGCTGTCTGGAGATAGAGACCCTTTCCTCTGGGAAAACATAATGTATTACCAGTTACGTTAAATACAGTGGACAAGAGTTCATTAATACTGTACTGTAGTTAACATCTGTGCGGATGCATACAATGGCTCCAGTGCAGGAAAAAATGTTCACTGACCCAATAGTTGGTAGTGATTCCATTAGTGGTAGTGAAAGTCATCCTGCACAATAATCCTCCACTCGCCTCATACCAGCCACAGAAGTTTTCAGAGGTAAGTACAGGTTTATTTTTATTTTGTATTTTCTTATATTACATTATCATTTTTATATGAATATATTTTGGGGTTGTGGAACGAATCATCTGAGTTTCCGTTATTTTTTTTTTTTTTAATTTTTTTTAATGTTTTATTTATTTCTAGGAGAGAGAGACAGCGTGAGCAGGGGAGGGTCAGAGAGAGAGGGAGTCACAGACTGAAACAGGCTCCAGGCTCTGAGCTGGCAGTCAGCACAGAGCCCGACGCGGGGCTCGAACCCACGAACGGCGAGATCATGACCCAAGCGAAAGTCGGACGCTTAACCGACTAAGCCACCCAGGCGCCCCTGAGTTTCCGTTATTTCTTATGGGGAAATTCACTTTGATATACAAGTGCTTTGGATTACAAGCATGTTTACAGAATGAATTATGCTCACAAATCAAGGTTTTGCTGTATATTGATTTCTGCTTTAAACCTTCATTTCTTACATTTTCCTGAGGGTTTTTTATTAACCTTTTATGTAGAGATTTTCACATATGCAAAAGTGAAATGGTATCATGAATCCACATGCAACATTTGTCACAATCCTCCAATTTTATTTCATCTTTACCTCCATTGTTATTCTGCCCACCCCACAATGATATTTCTAAAGCAGATCATTTCATCAATAAGCATTTCTTTTTTTTTTTTTTTAAAGATTTTTATTTATTTCTAGGAGACAGAGAGAAAGACAGCGTGAGCAGGGGAGGATCAGAGAGAGAGGGAGTCACAGACTGAAACAGGCTCCAGGCTCTGAGCTGGCAGTTAGCACAGAGCCCGACGCAGGCCTCGAACCCACGAACCGCGAGATCATGACCTAAGCGAAAGTCAGACGCTTAACCAATTAAGCCACCCAGGCGCCCCATCAATAAGCATTTCTAACAAGTAAATTTTTATAAACATAATCACAACATCTTTGTCACACCTAACAAAATTAATAATTCCTAGATAGGAGCTAATACCCACTACATCTTCAAATTTCCCCAGTTGTCTGAAAGGTCAATTTTTACTGTTGAATTGTTTGAATTAGGATCTCAACAGGGTCCACACTTTGCATTTGGTTGATAAATCTCCAGTATTATAATATATTATCGCTCTCTTTACCCTCTTTTTTAATGCTCTTTGTTTATTAAAGTAAGTGGATCATTTCGTCCATTAGGGTTTTTTTTTTTTTCCTTGTTATTTTTTTAAGTGGGCTTCTCATGCCCAGAGCAGAGCCCAAGGCAGGACTTGAACTCACTACTCTGAGATCAAGACCTGAGTTGAGATCAAGAAAATCAAGAGTCAGATGCTTAACTGACTGAGCCACCAGGCGCCCCATTTTCCATATATTTTTAAAAGTAGGCTCATTTGTCCTTTAGGATAGAGGACCAGGGGTTTCTAGGTTTGGCTGGTTGTGCCTCAACTTCCTATATACTCCCTTCTTGTATACTGCTGGTTAGATCTAAGGCTTGATTAGATTCAGTTTCCTTCTCTTAACCTCTGGCCTCACCTTCCAGAGTAGATGGTGGTGTGTTTTATCACTTCAGAAAACACATGTCTGGTTGTCCTATTTTTAGTGATACTAAGATTATTGATTCAGATGTTGTCAGCCTTATTACTTTATTTTTTTGAGAGCAAAAATGCATGTACGTGTGCCTGGTGGGGGTGGCAGAGGGAGAGGAAGAGAGAGAATCTTAAGCAGACTCCACACTGCGCAGAGACCCTAAGATCATGACCTGAGCTGAAATCAAGAGTCAGTCGCTTAACCAACTAAGCCACCCCGGTGCCCCAATTCACCCTTTAGATAACTTCCTATCAACCTTCCACGTAATGATAATAATATACATCCCTTATCTTTTTATATGTGGTAATTCATTATTTTCAAAGTAGAGACATTGTGCAGTTAATTTTTTTCTTTGTCCCCTCCTCCAATGGCTTCTTAAAAAGTTATCCACCAACTTTTGGATGCTTTTTAAATCAATTTAACATTTTCATCCCAAACACAGTATGTTATAAGGAATTTCAGCTTTTTTTTTTTCCAGGTAAACACCTATTTACACATCAGTCTTACTCAGAGACTGTACTATGGAAATCAGAGGAAAACTGAAGGGACCCCATGAGGGAAAAGCTGGGTTTCTTCCTTTGCTGCTTTTCCGGCTTCTAGTCTTGATAGGACCTACTCCTCCACCCCACTTTACACATGTCTGTTAATGTCTCTTGTAAGAGACAAGGAGTTGATGATTCTCTAGAATAAATAACATTTAAGGAAGGACTAGGTGAGAATGACCAGAGGAAACTATCATATGTGCATTCCAGACCACCAGAGCTAAACATCGCAATGCCAAGACCCTCTGGCTTCAAGGAATAACACTTTGGCCCTCCTCTTTGTTCTAACCAGTTCTTGGGTGCCTGAGAGGACACATAACACTATACGACTATCCTCAATAAAACCCAGAGCCTAAACAAAAATGAGACTCATGTTCTTTTCCTTTCTAAGTCCTCTGGATACTCTGTATCTCTCTCCTCTTGATAGATAGATAGATAGATAGATAGATAGATAGATAGATAGATAGATAGATAGATAGATAGATAGATGATTGATAGATACAGTAGAGATCTAATAAACTGCTTTCACCTCCTGCTGGCTCACATTTTTATTTCCATACTGTGTGAAGTCAAGGACCCTCTTGGCTGGTCCTGAGGTACATCTCCCCCCAGTACTCCCACCCACCCAGCCTGCCAGCATCAAAAAGAATTTGAATTGTGTGCCATGTTTAGATGATCCCCAAATGTGGTGTCTTGCAAACTGAAGCTAAACAGATAAACATCTTTAACTCTTTGGTCTGTTCTGTATGTGCACTATGTCCCTGTTTTGAAGCACTCTTGAATTTAATCTTTATTTGGCCCTTGAGGTATCCTGCAAAACGTTATTTTAAGTAAACACTATCTTCATCATGGGGCTCAAACTCTTGACCCAAGATCAAGAGTCACATGCTCAGGGCGCCTGGGGTGGCTCAGTCAGTTAAGCATCCCTACTCTTGATTTTGGCTC